TTGACGTTTAAAGCTGATTTTTGGTAAACAGATTGACTGTGGGGTGTAGAGGTTCGATAAGGAGGAGTTTCTCGAATCTCAAATTCCAAGAGGGTGAAAACGCCCCTCAAATATTACAATATTGGTTATTTAAAAAACGCTTAGTCTTTCGGGAAAACGCTTGGACAAGCATAATTTATTTGGTTTTTTTACATATTTTAAATTTTTTTTAAAAAATCATACAGGGTGTTCCAAAAGTTGGGTAATTTCTTAACCACGATTCTGCTCAAACTGCTTGACGTAAAAAGCTTATTTTTGGCAATGAAACTACCCCTCAAATATTACCCAGTTATATAATAATATCGCCATATTGTTTTTTCTCATGTTGACATAAATGTGAGAAAATTTTATCCAGTTTGTATGTTAATGGAAATTCTTGCTTTGCTTTATCATCACCATTACAAATTATTAATTCGACGCGAACGAAGTCGCTAATACACGCTAGTAATGTAATAAAAACGTTATTTTCATGCAGAAACGGTTTTATTACTAAAAAACTTACTTTTTTAGGCTATGTTACAGGCCAAAAAAGTGTTTTTTCAGCATGCCATCCTTTCAAATTATACAGTATTTCATAATATTCATAAAAATTAAATAGTTGTTTGCTAGAGACGCTTGGTGGTGCAGACTAGAAATGTATGAGCTGCTGGTTTCAGAACGCTGCGCTGCCGCTGTATGAAAGTGAATAATTACAGACAAAAATTTTACTTATTAATACGATAAATTCATATAAAAGCACAAGTTTGTAAAAAATATATAACTTACATTAATAGGACACTAACATCTAATATTTCGTTCATTGTTTTCGCATAGAAATACGAAGGCGAGCCTTCAGCCGTCCGGGAAATCCCCTTCGTGATTCAATCAGATCATATATGGATCAGATATGATGAACCATTCTTTTTTTTTTTTTTCAACTTCGAACGAGTATTTCATTCATCCATGCATCGATAGGTGGAGCGATACGCTCAAAAATAAGCTAATTTGTCGATCGTGAGCAGTCTCGGCCATGGCCGATAATCTCAGCTTTTTTATGCCGAGAACGATCATTGACGACGACCAGATGCACAATTACGAAAATTTCAGTTCTAAAGATACCAATATATGAGACAATTACTGAAAGTAAAAAAGAGTAAATCAAAAGAAGTGTAGAGATACATCTACTAATTTTTGATAATTATATGTTGAAATAATTGTATGTGCACGCAAGTTTTACAAGAGATCGTCAAAAAATATAGGTTTTTAAATGTTTAAGCCTCAAAATGTTTTATGTTAAACTGTTCTCGGTTAAGATGCATTTTTGCCCTCTACAGGTATATCACGTTAAAAGAGGATTAACATCTTCTGATATATCCAAATTTGTCGCTCTACATCTGTTAACATATTATTATGTATCCATCAGATGACAATATAAATTGAATTATCTTTCTATTACCGAATTATTATTTGTCTTGTTATACGTAACGACCCTGTATATCAATCACATACATGTTTTATGGACATGGATACGTTTATGGATTATTAGGAAAATACACATACTTATTCAGAGAGAGACTCCTAGTATATCAGGAGAATAGGAATAGGTTGAAAGTAACATGAGTGAAGACCAGACCGCTAATACTATCATAGTAATGAACAAAGAATATTCGAACATGACATTATTACATAATATTAGTTAATGGTAGCTTTAATAATTTGGAGACATCAATTATCGCAGAATTCAAAATTTTAAACCGTTAAGTCTGTTGACTAGTATTTTTTCAATATCCTATATTATAATTAATGTTTGAAACTATAAATATTGCTACTCACACTGGATTTCTCCAGTAGCGTAGGGTATTATAATCAAAGAAATACAATTTCTGCAATAAACATTTTTTTTATATATTTTACACGTAAAAAAATGTATAAAGTATTATTATCAAATATGTAAAATAATAATTGTAAACTATAAAAAAACGAAAAATTTTGGTTATAAAAAATCTATATGTATAGTTGTTACATAAAACTTAAATTTACCTGGCAAGATTTGGATGGTGGGCTACTTGTTACTATATTTTTTTAAATATCTTCTCCACTCACAGACCGACTTAATTACTGCATAAAATCAATCTTTATTTATTAATTAGTTCTCTAATTAGTTATCCTATCATTCATTAACAATAATTACTATTAACTTCTATTTATTAATCAATCATTAACAACAAATAATATTAATCTTCAATTTTTAACACACAACTAATTATTATCATTTAATAATATCTTCCCCGGTAATATCTGAAGAAAATTAAATAGCCCTTTTTACGCAATATAACTTATATATCCAAATATATTCATAAACGTCAAATTTCTTTTTTGTTTTTTAATATTTTTCTTGCAATTTCTTCATATCATCATTTTCAGCTAATTCACCTATTTTGAAACATGGTGTAGCCTCCCTGACATATTTAGATACTCCCTTTGTAGTTGGGCCCATGGCCCATTGTTGTATATTGTTGGCTACACGGGTCCACGTTGTCCCTGCTAATTTCCTAATATCAGGGTCCCATCGTTTTTTATACACAAGTAAAACTTTACGTGTAAAGTATGTCACACGCATAAATTTAAAATAAACTTGCATACTTTTTACTGCTTTATTACTTACCTACCATCATCTCCTTGCGTAATTGCGCAATTTAATGCCACCAAAAATTTTAAAAGTGTTTAAAATGTCCAAACTGAACAAATAATATGGGTATTTTTAGATCAAGGTCCATTGGAAAATGATACTGGGTATATTGTGTAAGAATACTATCAATTATTTGCAAATTTGATGGTTTGTTTAACTAAAATATTAACATAGTGCTAATACAATGAGTCAGAATATTATAATTCGCAGAGAAATATGTAGGAAGATATAAAAATGGCTTCTCCAAAATTTATAGCTATAGACTTCTAATTTATTCAACATACCATTATATCCATAGTAATATAGTCTAAGAGCTAGCAACGTTGAGAAAGTATTTTAAGACGTCTGGCTCTTTGATATATCTTTTACTATGCTCTCTGGAACAGCATGCGGCCCGTCTGGCTGCTGATACCCGTTGCGTTCACTACTGCACATAGGAAGAAGATCCTAGATCTAGTATTGAATATAAATCGAACATGCCTCCATAGCGCAGTGCGTAGAGTTTCCGACCACAAACCAATGATTCAGAGTTCGAATCCGGGTCAGGGCAAAGACTTTTTTTATTTTATTTTCGTTTATATTCTGATAGTAAAGTATTAAATAATTCTGTTGATTCAAAAAAAACAAATATTTAATACTTTACTATCAGAATATAAACGAAAATAAAATAAAAAAGTCTTTGCCCTGACCCAATATTCTTAAAAATGTTAATTGTTTTAACTTTCACCAGCACTCTTCCTCAGCACACTCACCCTGTACAAAATAACTTTTACTGGCAAACTTTAGAAAATGTTAGTAACATTAATAAATGTTAGAAATTGCTAGTAAAAGAAGACACATTTCTTTAAAATGCGACATTCCCTGGGTCAATGCGTAATTGTTAACATTTGTTAGCATATGACTCCAGCTACTAGATCTCTCTACATGTATCCAGTAGCTGGCGCCAGTCTCACTGGCATGCCAGTGGTTCGCTTTTTATAAATGTTAGAAATTACCTTTAATAAATGTTAGAAATTACTAGTAAAAGAAGACACATTTCTTTAAAATGCAACATTCCCTTCAACGCGTAATTGTTAGCATTTGTTTTGTTAGCTAGTGGAGAGCCAGTGAAGGACTGGCGTGACTGACAGGCCAGTGGCGCCAGCGAATTACTGGCGTGCCAGTGAGGACAGTGGCGCCAGCGAAAGACTGGCTTACCAGTGAGATCAGTGGCGCCAGCGAAAGACTGGCGTGCCAGTGAGACTGGCGCCAGCTACTGGATAGATGTGAGTAGCTGGAGTCATATACTATTGTTTATTATTCTGTTTTTTTTGTACTTGACTTGGATTTGATCTGTATAGAATTCCAGTAGCTGGCGCCACTGGTCTTACTGGTAGCCAGTGGAGAGCCAGTGAAGGACTGGCGTGCCTGTAAGGCCAGTGGCACCAGCGAAAGACTGACGTGCCTTTGAGGCCATTGGCCCCAGCGAAGGACTGGCGTGCCAGTGGGGCCAGTGGCGCCAGCGAAGGACTGGCGTGCCAGTGAGACTGGCGCCAGCTACTGGATACGTGTAGAGAGATCTAGTAGCTGGAGTCCATATACTACTGTTTATATTATGTTTTTGTTTGTACCAGTGGATTTGATACGTGTATAGAATTCCAGTAGCTAGCGCCACTGGCCTTACTGGTAGCCCATGGAGAGCCAGCGAAAGACTGGCATGCCAGGGAGACTGGCGCCAGTGAACTGCGCCAGTTAAGCGACGCCCTACGATGTGAATGTATGCACTGGTGAACGTCTGGAAACTTTGTTGTTCTGTTGTTCTATGAAAAGAGTATAAAATCTATTAACACACACTGCTAATTCATCCGACTTTTTTAACACCTTTTTAAAAAAGAAACAAAAAAGCAAATCTAGACATATATACCTTTCATTTAAAAAAGAATCATGATTAGTGAAGCGGTTTCGGCGGAATGGATGTAACAAAAAAAACCTTTAAGCTTTTATATATGTATGGATATGGATATGGATTGCTATTTATAGCAAACACCACTGTTTTATGTGTCCTATAAATAGTACTTTAAATCAATTCTATCGAATCCATATTTATAAATAAACATTGTTTCTTTATATCTTGCGATGTTAGAAACTTCTAACCTAATTGAACTTTTGACCCTTGCATTACTGACGTCAATACCTCTACTACGACACCATAAAAACCCACTTAATCTTTATTTTTAATTATTTTATTCATCATTGATTATGGTAGATCAGTAAATCAGCCATTATTATTCTAAACAGTCGTTGTTCGTTTCAGGCTTTGGTCATCGTGTCGACACGACCATCCGCTGTCCAGTGCATGTTAAAGAAGCAAGAACGATGGTTATGGGCTGAATTGTGTCCTAGAAGAATTATTATGCAATTGAATGAACTGAAGAAAATCTAAAGTGTGACAACGTTTTGTTGATTTGCAGAAGAGTGGACAGTGCGTTTGGTTCAGTTACTTATTTCTCGTGATTTAAGTGTAGAAGATAGACGTTTTTGGTGTGATAGAGAAGATTGGTGATGTAAGGATTGAACTCGGGATTGTTGAACGGGCCAACAGTGTGTGATTAAAGGTGAGTTTTGAAAAATTGCATTTGTTGTTATTTAAAATAAAACTAGCTTTTTCCCGCGACTACGTTCGCGTTACACCTCGAATCGTTCATGCCTTGATTTAAATGATTGTTTACCTATACATAGAGCTAGTGAGCCTTACGAAAATCCACTATTTAAAATTTAAACTAGGATTTTAACAGTTTTAGAGCTATTTGTATTTCATATGAATGTTGCAATTGTCGATTTTCTGGGTATTATACAGGACCAGTCTTGAATAAGTGCAAATATTTTCAGGGCTGGTAGATCTCGATAAAAAAAACAGTTTCTTTTTACCGTTTTTCAAATAACTCCACAGTAATCGAGTTAGTTTACTTTAAAAAATTCTAAAAAAATATTTTCTGCTTAAATTTTGATCACCACTGGAGCTTTTCGGGTTTTTCTGTCTGATAAATTTTATCTACTACTATTATGGATTAACTAAAAACTAAAAAAATCCAAAATTTTTTTTAAAAAATTCCAATTTTTCAAAAAAAAATTGAGAAAAAAATCTTGTTGCTGGGGTGATAGTCGTGTTTCTGGGGTCAAACTACCGCTAAAAATATTTCCACCTATTTATGAGCCATATGCTCTTGAAATTGGCCTATTGACGGCTCTTTATAAATTTTAAGTAAAAAATATGTAATAAGTCAAAAATAACAAAATCGATTTTTTTGGAAGGATATACAAGGCGAGTCTCAAATAAGTGTAAATATTTTTAGCGGTAGTATATTTTGATCACAGAAACACGATTATCACCCCACTAATACGATCTTTTTCTCGAAATTTTTTTTAGAAAATTGCAATTTTTTGAAAACTTTTTTGGATTTTTTTAGTTAAAAACTATAATTTTTTGATAATACGGCAACATAGGTAATAGATTAAATTTACCAGACAGAAAACCCCGAATAGATCCAGCGGTCCTCAGAATTTAAGCAAAAAATATTTTTTTGGAAATTTTTAAAGTAAAATAACTCGGTTATTTTGGAGTTATTTTAAAAACGGTAAAAAGAAAATATGTTTATTTTATCTAGATCTACCAGCACTGAAAATATTTGCACTTATTCAAGACCCGCCCCGTATAATACCCAGAAAATCGACAATTTCAAACATTTGCAAGGCTTAATAACTCTATCCGTAAAGAGGTAAACCATCATTTAAATCAATGCATGAACGATTCGAGGTGTAACGCGAACGAAGTCCCGGAAAAAAGCTAGTATAAAATAAAACTTAAAAATTCTTAAGTTCATGTAGAGAAACTAACAAGATTTTTGCTCAATACTTAATTTTATTACAAAAAGAAACCTTATTATTTTAAGCAACTATTTTGTTACTACATTTTGAAATAAAAAGGAATTCTAAGCCAGATACGAATCTCACAATACATTCCTAATAAATTGATTATTGCGGTTTACACCATATATAAAGCAATATTTTTTTAAAATATTATTTTATAAAGAGAACAGTCGTGGTGATCATAATAATTCTACACGGATTTATAACATTTTCTCCGAAAGTAATAATCAACCTAAAGGTATAAATGAAAGTTCGTTTTTTATCGAAAGAAGTAATAAATGTTGCACTACATTTACTAATTAATATTATTATTTAGAATGTTTCAATAAGCTTGGTATATTTTTTAACGGGTACACTTTCATCACACTATCTTTATTATCATCAGATTCAAGAAAATCAAAAATTAAATTAAAGGTTGATGAAAATCGGTAAGATTATATTTAAGATACTTCAATAATGATAAGGAGATGAAAGGTTCTTAACAAGAAACAATAATATAAATTAAGAAATAGATGAAAGCAGATACTATCGAATGATAATGATTTTCTAGCAATTTCTTGTTTTATATCTATTTTTATTTTTGAAATTTGATATAGGAAAATTGTTATACAGCATGTTTTCTTCAAATAGTTTCTCCACGCTAATTTTATTGATACCCAAGTAGCAAAAAGAAATTCTAAAAGGATTGAATTATTTTATAACAGTCGAATAGCGTTGTCTTAAGGACTGCTTGATTTTATTAAGCGTTTGGTTTCGACCATTCTGTTTTTTAATTAAAGTTGTCATATTAAACTATTTTCTAGTGGTTTTTACAACGTCTCCTATAACGCATTAAACGATAATTTCTTTTAGTATGATATAACACTTAATAAGACAATGCTATATGATAACAAACATATTATTTTATTAGACTCTTATATCCACCATGTAAGAGTTCTATAACATTCATATAACTAGAAGTCACAAGATCATATAATAGTTACTTAAACTTGTCTTATTAAAGTTGTATTACGTTGTATGATAGAATGTTTTATTGCGTTAAACTACGGTTCTGTATACAACACCAGTTATATAGCCTTATATGATAAAATTGTGATTAACAAAATAAATTCTCTGTAATACCTGCAATATAAAACTGGTAAAGTATAATATAACCTCATTTTAAATTAAATGGTATACCTAGTTATTTATTTTGTTATTGTTGTTGTTGCAAAAGTAATATCTACGTACGAGTATAATCAATCACAGCTATTATGAATTCTGGACAAAGTTGGAAAAAAGTTAACAAATGCAGTGGTAGTTATAAAAAGCATGTAAGGAAAAACTCTTCGAAATTACGGCAAATAGTCCGAAAATAGATTTTTCAAAACACCCTGTATACATTTTTAAAAAATCTTAAAATATTATTCTGAAAATTTTTCAGAATAAATAAACACCTAAATATTGGAACTTAATAACGTACTGAAACATACAGCGCCATAATATCTCGACCTCCGCCCGTTATGCTCGTAACAGGTTGAAAAACAATGTATCTAAAACAACTGATGCGTTATTCTCCAACCTGTTTCGAACCTCCATCGACAATCGACCGATGCAGCAGCGTTCCTTTCCCACTTCTGTTATCTCGACCGTTGCCCCGTTATGCTCGTAACAGGTTGTATCTAAAATGACTGCTTCTCCAACCCGTTGCGAGCCTCCATCGACAATCGACCGATGCAGCAGCGTTCCTTTCCCACTCTTGTTATCTCGACCGCCAGGCGTTATGCCCGCAACTGTTTCAAAGAACCTGCTTCTTTTATATCCTATTATTTTTAAGCTGTTGCAAACCCAATACGACCTCCGACGGCGTCGACCGAAGCAGCTACGTTCGCCGTAGCGCATTCCCCACTCTGTTGTCCGTTGTCTCGCCGCCTGTATCGATGGTTGACGAAATAACATGTTTTCCATCAGAAGTGTCTAGTCCTAGCAGTCAACTAGAAGGCTTGACCAGTCAGGTTGGTTAGCGTGGTTATTTGAAGGGTGTTAATTAATTTGTGTTTGTCAAAAACTCTAACGTGATTGGTCGGGCTTAATAGTTGCCTGCTAGGACTAGACACAAGTTTTTCCATCCATACTAGTTGTTTTTTGGAATTGCTTCGAGCAGCATAGAATTTCGTGGCGGTGCAGAGCGCCGACTTCCTAAAGTTTTGGGAAAAAATTCAGGAACTGTCAACTCTTATAAAAATTGTTTTATATTTTTATCATATTTTTAAACAACCTATGTTTACTATACTAATTATAAAATAAAATTCAAACAGTGGACAAGGGACCGTTATTTTCGATTTGCCTAAGAATTCCCCTGACGCGTTGCATCATCCTTTGGACAACTTCGGCGTCGATTTCTCTAATTTTTCTGAATATACGGCGTCGCAATTGTTCTTCGTTTTGTGCTTCCTACCCGTTATTGTAGACTTTTCGACTCAATATTGCCCAGAACTCTTCGATTGGGCGAGCCTGAGGTAGATTAGGCGGATTGTCTACTTTCGGTACAAAGTCGATGTTGTTCCCTTCATACCAATCTCTTGTGATTCTCGCGTAATGGCATGAAGCGAAATCCGGCCAAAATATTATTCCGTCATCCACATGATGCGTGTTCAAAAACTAAAGAAGTTTAGGGAGACAATTCTCGATATAAAGCTCTGCATTTAAGGCCTCATCCCGAACAACGCCAGATGTAAGGATGTGAGATGAAGCCAGCCTCAGAAATGGCACACCATACCAACATTTTGTCCTCAAACTTTTTCGAACTTTTTAATCTCACATTATCAGGGCCATTCTCATAATTGTCCGTGTAGAACCCATCATTCACATTCTTTGATTGTGCGATAAATTGTCGATTTGCTAATGTTTTGATCCCGATAAATGACGACAATATCTCGTTTCGCCATTCGCCCAACAAGATTATAAACTCTTCGACGAAGGGCAATTTTTAAGACAATTTAAGAAGCAGAACCCAAAATCTTTTGCTTTGTTTATTGAAGTGACATGACTGATGACATTTCATTACCATGACTACTTCCTTAAATTTTTCCTTTTTTTCCTTAAATGCATTTTATTACTTAACCAAACCAGATGAAAATTTTCCCAAAACTTTAGGACCATACGTTAGGAATTTGAATGTCAACTTCCAGTAATTACGGAAATGCCGCCATGCGCCATATTGAAACTATTTTTAATCGATGGATCTCGTTGTAAAACAATGATATGCAAAAAGTTTCCGATCTAGATATAGAAGTCTTCTAGAAACTTCTAATGCACCCTTAGTGTATATTTAATGTTTTGTCTTAATGCTGTTAGTCTAACAAATCTATTACTTACCCTAATTGCGGAACAACCTCTGTCTGTAAATCAGTAGCTCTTTTCTGGACTGTTCTGGAGGTATTGTACCCGTTCATGAGGATCTTAGTTTTATACTTCTTTAAAACTTAGTTATTTTTTACTATAGAAAGAAAACGGCCGACTTTTAAGAAAACATTTAAATTTAATATTAAAAAAAATAAAGATCAAAAAAGAAAATATAAAAAAGTTACCTATTACTACTCAAAACAAAGAACAGTACCTCCAGGAATGACCTTATTGGCTAAGTACCGCATGCACCACCCTTCAACCCTCTAATGTTGGAACCTCGGGGCTGATGTTAGGCAGAAATTTTCGTTCGGTTTGAGTTTCTAAAAGAGACGGTTCTCCTTCGGGTTCGCGAACCACTGTAAAGTTCACGATGTGACCACCTGTAGTTTTGAAGTCTGGGGTCTGCTAATAATTGTTTTTAAGTCGTTTTGTTTAAATACTTTTAATTTCTGTTTTAATTTTTTTCTTTAAAATTATTTTAATGTATTGAAGTAAGATCTAGTAAGGAAAAGTTCAATTTATTATGCAATTATCATATTTTTCAATAAAAGCAGACACTTATCTTTATTTTGATCTCAATTTATCTTTATTTTAAGTAGTAATACGTAACTTCTTTATATTTTCTTTTTTGATCTTTATTTTTTTTAATTTTAAATTTAAATGTTTTCTTAAAAGTCGGCCGTTTTATTTCTATAGTAAAAAATAACTAAGTGTTAGAAAAGTATAAAAGTAAGATCATCATGAACGGGCACAATACCTCCAGAAGATTCCAGAAAAGAGCTACAGATTTACAGACAGAGGTTGGGCCGTAATTAAGATAAGTAATAGATTTGTTAGACTAACATCATTAAGACAAAACATTAAATATACGCCTCAAAGAGTCGGTGTACTTTTTATCCAAGTTAGCCTGCCGCGGAAATATAATATTTTTAATCATATTTATAATAGAGTCACGCTACCCAAAACAATTGATGAATCTGAAAAGATTTGTTACATAAAATTTGGTGGCAGCGGTGGGATATACAAAAAATTAATTTGTAGAACACAGATTATTGTTTTTGATTATAATTTTGATTTAAAATTTGGTGACAGCTACGGTGGGATCTACAAAAAATTAATTTGTAGTACCCAGATTATTGTTTTGATTATATTTTTGATTTAAAATTTGGTGGCAGCGGTGGGATTTTGGGTATGTGCTTTACTAAAATCCCCAGATCCTTTACAAACATCCAGCGATAGTGAAACATGTTATCAAGGGTGGTTATTGGTTTTATAACGTCCCAGCGTTTTTATGTTTATGTTCTCACAAAGCAGTTTCGGAATTTTACCAGATAATAAAGTCAGATATTTTTTTTACCAGACACACAGACAGATATTTTGGAAATGCTAAAAGGGTCCTATCTAAAACCAATAACCAAGAACGCAAGATATAGAAAAGAAAATAATCTGTTACACTGTATACGATATTCATAAGTTTGAATTAAACTAATGAAATAAATATTTTACATAATAATTGTTATTTGTTTCAGATCTTTCATGGGAGTTTCACCCGCCAATATAAATAAATATATTCAGAAATAACATTTTGGACTGATAGTTCAGTCCAACACGAACAATCTATATGTTAAATATAGTAGTGAATCAGTGTTTAAAGAACTATGAAAAACTCGTATAGACTGCTCTGGCTTTCTGTTTTCCTTGCTGCGGAAATCTGTTTTGCCGGCATCATTGACGTGAATTGGTCCAGATCGGACAAGCTCGGAATAGAAGTGAATTTGAATCTACCCTGGTTACCTTGTAAGTAAATTTAATGTTGTATGAATATAACTACTTATTGCTTAAACAGCCGCTACACTATCCCCGAAAGGTTTACGTAATATTTCTGGAAATAAATATACACCCTTCTAACTTCACTGATAACGGAGATACCCTATGACTTCAACTAAAATGGGACACCCTGTACACTATTCTCTCTGTACACTTCTCACTTTTAAGCGATAATTATTTTTATTAATTATTATTTTAATAACATAATTACAGCAATTATTATTTTCTATTCAAGCAAAATATTTTTATTACCCAATTAGCGAATTGAAAAAAATATCGTTATATAATTTTTCCTAATAACGCTTCACAATTCATTGATTCTAAATACCTTGTAATTACTTAATTCATAGGTTAAATAACACGGTGTTCTTTATATAATATCTAATTTCTCGCTAAATAGTTTTAAAAATGTCTGACTGACATGCCATGTTCACATTCGTTAATATAATATTCATTAGTATATCAGTGAGATTTTAATATTAGTGTATAGAGTAAATAAATTTTATAATTATATACTTTTTTGTTCAAGTTGAAAATGAAACACGCTGCTACGACGAACTGGGTTGTCTTAATATCACCAGGAGTTGGTATCACCTGATTAATAGGCCTTTCAACGTATTTCCCTTGCCCAGATCTGTGATAAACACTAGGTTTATACTGTATACTCGACTGAACCCTTATGAGGTAAGTTATTGCGAACGCGCAAATAAGTTTTGCCAGGTAAATAAACTGCCCATCAAATTAAATACCACAGAGATTTTTTTACTCATTTTCAACGAGTCGTAACTTTAAGTAGAAAGATCTGATTTTTCTAAATTTTGTATGATATTTAGTTTTCTATGATATACAGGGTGTGAAAAAAAGGAATGTAATTTTTGTGTTACTGCCATTTTGCCCCCAAAAAAAATGAACTAGAATTATAAGTTCTGGGTATAGCTAAGACTAATATCTCGAGACGTATTTGGAATTTTTACGATAACTCATCTGTAATAAAAGATAATCAATTTTTACTCTAACTTATATGTTTTCTACCTTTCTTAAGAGATATGCTAACAAAATTGAAATTAACTTTAAAATTGTAGGGTATTCCTTACTTTTACAATGTAAAATTAAAAAAAAATGATTTAACTAACGCAGTTTAATACAGGATCTCTTAAAAATACGACCGGCAAAAAAGTAAAATTATTTTTTTAACCTTATGGATTAAGTTCAGAATATTAAAAAAATAATGTAAAAGTAACGAATATCCTACAATTTTAAAATTAATTTCAGTTTTGTTAGCATATCTCTTAAGAAAGGTAGAAAAAATACCAAGTTACAGTAAAAATTGATTATTACAAGAGTATTATACATTGAGATTACAAGAGTAAAAATTGATTATCTTTTATTCCAGATGAGTTATCGTAAAAATTCCAAATACGTCCCGAGATATTAGTCTAAGCTACCCAGAACTTATAATTCTAGTTAAAATTTTTTTGGGGCAAAATGGCAGCAACACAAAAATTACATTCCTTTTTTTCACACCCTGTATATCATAGAAAACTAAATCTCATACAAAATTTAGAAAAATCAGATCAATCAACGAAAAACGATCTTTAATATGCTAAAAAATCAACAAAATCGGTCCATTTTTTTCAAAGTTACCTACAACTCGTTGAAAATGAGTAAAAAATCGCTGTGGTATTTAATTTGACGGGCAGTTTATTAATCTATATTTTCCTATGTTGTCCCTATTTGTTATTTTATCTAAATCATTTTAAGATCTTAGACTGATAATTGTTGAACCATATTTACGAGTATATTTACAGTATTTTGCATACTTAATTTGAAGACGAAGATGTTTCAAAATATTTAATCTTACATCTAGAACTGTCATTTAAGCATTCTTTTTTTTTTGTTTTTTTTTATAGAGATTCAGAATTCAAATAAAGAGATTCACAATTAGTAGTAAGAAATTTGTATTTATCAGTAACATAAAATACTGAAATTTTGGGGGAAAACAAACCAGTAATTTTTAAAGTACAAGAACATTATTTATCTAGTTATAATTAAGATTAATAATTAAATATAAAAAGTAGCTAGGTATCGATACTATGTCGCCTTAGCTTTAGGAGTCTATTACGCTGTACTGTTCGGGTCAGCGGCGGATGCAGAGGGGGGGCCCATGGGGCTCCGGCCCCTCCTAAAAACTGTAAAATGGGTTAAATATTAGGCTTTTGGTTAAAAACTGCCCCCCCCCCCCTAAAATAAATTCCTGTATACGCCCCTGGTTCGGGTTGCCTTCAGGGGTCGGGTAAAGCTGGTGTGTGGCCGAAGTAAATATTTAGTATATTTCAGCAATCTGTCTAATGCTTAACCCGATTCTGTCGTGTTAAGCCACACCGAAAATTCTAAATACACGTGCTTTGATTAAGGCTTGGTTAAGATTTGCAGAGCTTCACCATTTGCCATGAAATAGGTAGCAATTTGTTACAAAACCATATAAGTTATATATCACTGTAATCACAAAACTTCAATCCATTTCCGTATTGTAACGGAAGTTTAAATCATTTCTTTATTTTCGAGAAAATTTAGTCCAAACATAAGGAATATTTTGTTGATGTTTGACCATCAAAATCTTAAAAATAAAGAAGTTGTCTAAAAAAGTGCTACAATACGGATATACTATAATTCTTTATCTTTAATTTCCTTCTTTATTTGTGTAAAAATACCTAGCCAGTTTTACATAAAACATTAAATGCCGAACGCTTATTTTGCTACTTTTGCGGACTAGTGAAATGGACTCTTAAGTAACAACACAGAGGACATAGCAAAATAAAAACACTAAATCACCACAATACACCAAAACACTTTTACTTTTACACTGGACGCGCGTTTCGCTAACCATGTTAGCATCATCAGCAGATGATTATAAACTAAAGTACAATTTACAAGTTGAGCGTTTATATACTCGCCCAGTGGGTACCGAGTGGGCGTGGCAAAATCTAGACAACCGAGTCAGAGCCCACTGAGCGTAACAGTTAGATTTCCGCCACTAGAGTAGTAGGAACAAAGAACTTATCCCGTGGTCTAAAAGGCATTTTTAAGAATGTCAATTATAAACTTGTGTATAGTGCTAATAATAAATTACAACAATTATTAGGTAATCCAAAGGAAAAAACACCTCCACTGGATAGGTCGGGTATTTATGAAATTTCTTGTAAAGATTATAATCAGAGATATGTTGGGCAAACTAGAAGATCAATATTAACTAGATTTAATGAACATTTAGTTCAGATAAGATATGGTAGACCGGATAAATCTTGCGTTGCCGAACATATTGTTGATAAAGACCATTGTATAGATCTTAATAATTTAAAATTAATTAAACAAGTCTCAAATTACAGGCAATTAGATGCATATGAAAGCATCAGAATCAATAAATGTAAAGATAGTATGAACAGAAACAACGGTCCAATTCCTTCAAGTTCTTTGTTCCTACTACTCTAGTGGCGGAAATCTAACTGTTACGCTCAGTGGGCTCTGACTCGGTTGGCTAGATTTTGCCACGCCCACTCGGTACCCACTGGGCGAGTATATAAACGCTCAACTTGTAGATTGTACTTTAGTTTATAATCATCTGCTGATGATGCTAACATAGTTAGCGAAACGCGTGTCCAGTGTAAAAGTAAAAGTGTTTTGGTGTATTGTGGTGATTTAGTGTTTTTATTTTGCTGTGTAACACCAAAGGTTTAAACCCTCAACTGTAACAGAGGACATAGCAATAGCAAGCAATACCTTGCTACTGTCAAAGCGCTTAAATACTCTATCAGGAAGAACATACAATCTAATTTTTATTGTTGTCGATCCAATAATATATATATAGTGTTTTTTTTAAATGGATTAGGATCGAAAAAAAATCAACAGAAGTTCTTTGTTTTAAATTTGTTGACGTTTTGCAAAATTTATTTGCATCTTCAGGACAATTTAAATCTGGACTTGCTTAGTCATATCCATTAATACACGGATGGTATAGAGGGGAGTGGTATACACGTGTGGCAAAGTTTCATTAGCAATAGGAGCTTTTCAATGCGATAAAAAAAGATGGTAAGGCTGCAAAATACACTGCAGTACAACAGAGACGGATAAAGTGTCTTTTCCCTACCATTGTATAGGGGAAGTGATCATAGAAGTGATACGACGAGAGAGCTTCTGCGTGAGGGGGCGGGTCTTTAAGACGCTTGTTTGGGGGCTACCGGCTACTAATAGAATAGAATCGAAAAAATGGAAAGACGAAGGACAGTGTTGCCATTCTGTTAAATCAAAATTATGTTGGCTTATCCTAAATCCCGAATCTTCTAATCCCATTATCTTGCCTAATTAATGAAATATTAAATAAAGTACAAAACAATTTTAAGAATGTTTTCTCTAGGCACATAACAACTTCTTTCTAAAACAAAAAGTAACATGCAGAAGTTTGAAATCATTTCTAAAATAGCAAGTGCAATTCTATGAAATGGCAATACTGTACGATCTTCCTTGCAGTCGCCCCGACACCGACCGGTCGGTCGGCGGCGGCGACAAAGGAAGGACCGAAAAAACTTTATAAAGGAGTAGCCGAACAGGGTTGCCAGGTTTATTAGATTATAATTCCATACGAGAACAAAATTCTCGCTAGATCTTCAACAAAAATCAAAAGTACAGAAACAAAATAAAATATAATATTTAAGTCCAAAATTAGCATTCCTATGTGTCGTAATACTAGATCACTCAAATAAAATACAAATATAGTAAATATAACAAGAATTAGAAATAGGTAGGTATATTATATTCAGTGCGAGATTCTGAATCATACGTTCTACTCGCCTGGGGTAGTTTTGTTTTAAGGTTTGACATTTCGTGGTTTAGAGGTTTGGTAATATCAAGGCCATGCTTTTGATTAGAAAATTTTGAGGTTTGGATATGAGAATGGGATGGGACAGTGATTTCCCCAGTATGGTCTTGGGAGATAAGCTATAAGGCTCGCGTGGGCAGGGGCACGTCCCTGCGTGACATTAAGGAAGTGGCAGGTAAACGGTGGTTAAATATAGCACAAAACAGGGAGTCAAGGAAAAAGATAGGAGAGACCTATATCCAGGAGTGGATGAATCCGGGTTGAGGTAGAGGTATATTATTTAATATTAAAAAAATATATATTGAATTAAACAATATTAATATATTAATAAAAACTATAACAAGTAGGGATAGCAGTCACTTTTTACCTTTGTACAAATTTTGATCAGTGATATCTAAAATTAATTTCATTTCAATGGGAAAGCTGTAGCAACTCTCAACTCTTTTTTCATATTAATATATTTTTTTGACAGGAAAAGCACTAAAATATTTATTCGTATTCAGTTTGTTTCTTAACTTAGATTTTGTTTTTGTTTATATTTTTGGGGGAAAATATGGGTTTAACTTTAGTAAATGAATGAAACAAAATCTTCTCAAAAGATATCAACATCTTCGGGCATATCGCCAATACCGCGCCTAATAAAGAGTAATAAGGATTTAGTAATATATTTGTCACTCTGCAACTAGACAGAATGATGACCTATGATTACTAAATAAAATTTAATAAACAATAATAAAGTCAGATTAGACTAAAGACGCAGTTGAACATATCGTTAGATTTTTGTTTAAATCGGTAGATCGGTAGCTTACAGGCGAAACCGGTAGACCTGGCAACTCTGTGTGGACTGAGGTGATGGCGTTTTGCGGAGGCGAGGGAAGGGAAATAAAATAATGGTGATAAAGGGCAGGTGGATATCATGGGTGGATGGGAGGCGGCGGAATTTTCAAAATTTGTTATCTTATTGGAGTTTGTCTAACTCGACAGTCGTAGTGGAAGTGGAAACGGGGAAGTTGTTGTCCATCTCTGTTTAAGCTTAGACTTTTTATAGGCGTTTCATTCCAATGCATGTAATTCCTATGCCTAGATATCCTATTACCGGACCTGTATATCCCTTTTTTTCTTTTAAAACACATTATGTTTCTTCGAGAACTTCAAACAAAGGACATCTGTTGATTTTTTTTCGATCCTAATCCAATTAAAAAAAAACACAGTAGAATATACAATTTTTGCATCAGAAACCTTTAAATATTTAAATTCTAAAATTTCTTTTACTTCTAGGGACAAATAGTTAAAGCCAAAAATGAATCTATAGAAAGATCTAACTTGGACATCGATAAGAAGACAAAATTTATAATACATGGATTTATAGATACCCCTCTGTCAAATTGGGTAAGTTTGAAATTTTTGACTAATCCTCATGAACGGGTTAATAACACCAATAGACTGTATAAAAATAATTATACGATAAATTTTTACTGCCAATACCTTTGACACCAGTGTTTATTTATTTTAATATAAATTATGCAATTCTCATAAAATACATACATTATTCAGGGTGTTTTAAAAAATATGTGCCATCTCTCGTGGGGAGATTCTTAACGTCAAAATATGATTTATTTTTTATATTAACATAGGTCCGATTCTGCTTTGTTCCATAGCCACAAGGGGTAAAAGTGTTACATTTTTTTCGAATTATTAAAATTTTCTTGCCGTTTAAAGCTAGTAATTATTTAATACCAATTTTTGAACACTCTGTATAAGGTAGTATATTTTTTATTATTGCAACACAATATCTGATCAAGGAACAATCTTCAGTAAATATTTAGTATTAAAAACTTTGATACCCTTGAAGAAATGAAGCCTTAAATTTTTTACTGCAATTTCACAAAATTGAAAATATTTCAAAAACGGTAAGGTTTAAGTGTGATAAACCTTAATCAAATTTACCTTTATATCAATCGTAGAATGTAAAAATAGAATAATATATAGGGTGTTCTATTTAAAAAAATACAACTATGATATTTTTTACTTATTTGGGACACTATGTATCTTGTAAAATTATTTTTAAATTGTAGCTCTAATAGTCCTTCAACAAACCCAAAACTTACAATTTGAAAAAATCTAATCGTTTACCACAATACTCCGTGTCGTATGTGGTGAACAACCCTGTATACTTTTGTGCGCGCTAAAAAAATACACTTCAAAATTACATGTTAAAAAAATGTTTTACGTACTTTACTGATTTAAAGTTGTATCTTGATGTTTTGTGGATTTGGGTCTCCTTGATGAGATAAACGCAATTATATTAATCAAAATTAATAAATTATTTATTTAATCTAATTTATTAATAAATTTTATTGAAATGTCTAACACTAGTGTTCAGTGCTACCTACAGCAAATTAAAAAAAATGGCATCTAAGAGCACCTATTTTTAATAAAAATGCCTTTATCTCTTCAAGAAGAAAATTATCAAAAATCGAAAAAAAAAACGTAACAATTAATTACCGAAACTAGAGAAATAGGAACAGAGAACTGGAAAGAATTAGACCATTATTTTTGTTTATATGATCTTTGCATTTAATTACCTGTAATTTAAGACTTGTTTAATTAATTTTAAAATATTAATAACTATACAATGATCTTTATCAACAATATGTTGAACAAGACCAATATTTATTATATTATATATTTATAACTTATCTGAGCCATAATATGTTCTTTAAATCTATTAGTTAATATTGATCTTCTAGTTTGCCCAATATATTTCTGATTACAATCCTTATATGAAATCTCATAAATACCTGACCTTTCTAGTGGAGGTGTTTTATCTTTAGGATTACCTAATAGTTGTTGTAATTTATTATTAGCACTATACCCAAGTTTATAATTGACATTCTTAAAAATTCTTTTTAAACCACGGGATATCTCTTTATTGTTGTAGCCGGCCGTAGCTTCAGCGTTAGTGTGTCGATCTGCGGAGCGGAAGGCACTGGGTTCGATCTCCAGCCAGTACGGTCGCCTTATTTATTTAAATAAAAATATTTATTTATCTAAATAGAGCGACCAACGAGCCGCCACCTCAAGGAAGGCAATGGCAAACCACCTTGAGCATATTTGGTTTGGTT